GCGGTGGGAAGTGTGAGTTCCTCCCCGTCTGCCTGACAGCTATAAAGGCAGCCGCCGGCTGGCGCCGCCACTGGGCTGCGTGCCCCTCCCTGGGAACCCCGCTCTTGGAGGCTCTTTGAAGTGGGAGAGGGAGGAGGCACGGGGAGGAGGAGGGGAGCAAGCCCAGCACTGTGCCTCCCGCACCAGCCTGCGCACCTGGCCTGCCTGCCCCAGCTGCTCTTGCCCTTTCTCCGGAGGACAACCTGCTGACCCTGGCCAGGTAGGTCGTCTCACCCGTCTCGGCCTCACACCGCAGCCCTCCCAGGCACCAGGTGCAGCCACCCGGCCAGCCAACTGCCCAGAGTGGGGCCAGGCCCCAGAGGTACCTAGCACCCCTGGGGGAGCCGTTATGTAACTGGAGGACGGCCATGGGGAGGGGTCCCCAGGCGTGGGCCGCCTGAAGCCCCGTTTGCACGGCAGCCTCTTGGGCTGGCTGGCCGGTGCGTTTGGTCCCCCGGGAGGATGGCTCCTGCATGAGCAGGCTTGGCCGGAAGCCAGCAGTGTCTGGGAGCCTTAATGAAAACCACGTGTGGGGCCGTCTGCGCACCTGTCTCAGCCGCGGGCAGCAGCGGGCACCGGTTAGCCCGTTGGGCCGCCTCGGCCCTGTGTAGGGGTGCGTGATGATGGAGACCTGCAGGGCAGGGTGCTGGGTGGGGGTGCAGGAGGCACCTGGTGGGTGGGGGTCTCAAGGCTCAGGCTCCAAACTCCAGGGTGGGCAGCTTCCCCGATGGGCAGAAATGCTCTCGGGGTGCTGCTCCTGGGGATTGGCAGGTGTTTGACTGACGGGGGCTGGTGGGAGGGAGAGGGGCCGATTTGGAGTTGGCTGCCGGGGTGCTTTCCCACCTTCCTGCCCTGGAATCAGCTGGGTGCCAGGGAAGGGGCCCTGAGTTTGCTCTGTTCTCGCTGCTTGCTGTGTGGCTGTGGACAAGTTGGCTCCCCTCTCTGGGCTCCAGGCTATGTGAGGACGGGCTTGGTGGGTCTGATAGACCCCTTCTGTAATGCGATGGCCAGATGCAGGACCTGAGACAAGCCCTGGACAGAGACCACAGAGGCCCTCTTTCCCCTCCTGAGGGCAAGCATCTTTGCTGGGAAAACAGGGTAGGGGGTACAAGGACCCAGAATGTTGGAGGCCCCCTCAGGGGTGAGGCAGTCCTTGATTTGACCCCTACCAGGGACTGCCACCCCCTGTCTGTTTGTTATACTGTGGTGGCTTCTGTGTTGCTGTGATGCTGGAAGTTATGTCCCCAGTATTTCAAATACCAGCAGGTTTCAACAGAGCTTCCAGACTAAGATAGACTAGGAAAAAGGACCTGGTGGCCTACTTCTGAAAAAACTGGCCAGTGAAAACCTTATGAATAGCAGTTGGCGAAGGACTGGGCAGTGTTTTGTTCTGTTGTACAGAGGGTCGCTATGAATTGGAGCTGAGTCAAGAGCAGCTAACAACAACAGGGACTGCCGAGTGGTGTTTCGGGCCAGAGGTGCTGACGTGAGGGGAAGCAGGGCACTCCCAGCCTGAGCTGTGCCTCCTGCTGCGCCCCCTCCACCTCTCGCCGGAGAAGGCTATAGATGCCAGGCTCTGCCTTACCTCAGGGCTGGTGATCACGGGCTGCTCATCGGCAAAGGTGGAGCTGCAGGTTCCTGGAGGGTCCTGCCGCCACCTCAGGGGGCAGGTGGGGAAACTGAGGCCAGGGAGGGGCAGGGCCAGGCCCAGCCCACTCACATTCACTGAGTCCTCCAGGGCCCATGCGGCCAGCAGGGGTTCATCATCCCACAGCTCGGAGGGAGGCCGTGAGGCAGCTCTACTGGTCAAGGAGCTGAGTCAGGTCCTCAGGCTATGTCACTCAGCTGTCCAGGGTCTCAGCATTCACATCTCCCCACATGCCCTGAGTCTAGGATGGCAAACACTTAGCACGCACACCACCACTCAATGTCCAAGCCATGCAGGCATCACCAATCACCCACCGGGCTCTTTCTTGCTGAGACCTCCAGCAGAACCCTCCAGCAGCCATTACCAATAGATCCCAGATAAACTTGTGGCCTGGGGACTCTGAGGGCTTTTCTCCAGTGTGGACCCTGGTCACAGGAAGAGGGACTGGGGTCTGGCCTGGTGGGACAGTGGCCTTGTTTCCTAGGATGGATGGCAGACAGCAGACGCATGCACACTGGGCCTGGTCTCTGCTGGCCATGGTGCTTGTTGCGGGGGAAGCAGCGGCCGCTGGGACCACGGTGAGTGGGGTTGTGTGTCAGCCTTTCCCCCAGTGCTGTGCTCACCCCCAAGTGGACTGGCTCTGGCGGGGGCTGTGTGGCAGGCCTGAGGCACGTGTCCAGGGTCCCGAGCATCTTCCCAGGCACCTGTCTTCACAGAGCCATCAGACTAGTCCCTAAACGGGGGCTCTGGACACTCTGAGCCCTTGGGTGAGGTGGCAGGAGAGGGCTGAGGGCCCAGTGCAGGCCTAGGGTGAGGGGCGGAGATGGATGGACTTGTGTCCTGGGGACCCCACGCTGCCCTGGGCTGCCCGGGGAGAGAAAGTGAGGAGAATAGGTGTGGCACAGGATCTCACCAAGCTCCCAGCATGTTCCAGGTCTTGAGACCAGGAAGACCTATGACCTGCATGGCCTGGGAATTCCCGAGACCGCCTGGGATCTGACCCCAGGCTGCCAAGCCAACCAGCTGCTGGCTAGCCCGATGAGCAGTGATGCTCACGGGCACGGGGCAGGCAGGCCCCTCTGCAGACTCCAGAACCTTCTTCTAATGCTCCTTGGGGGCCTCTCCCCAGGACAACAGCCCGACGTCCAACAGCCTGGAGGGGGGCGCGGATGCCATGGCCTACTGGTGGGGGGAGTGGACCAAGTGGACGGCGTGCTCCCGCAGCTGTGGGGGTGGGGTGATGTCCCAGGATCGGCACTGCCTGCAGCAGAGGTGCGCGGCCAGCGTGGGGCCCACGGGGCTGGCATGGTGGCAAGGGACGGCCCGGGAGGTGACCGGGTGGCGGGAGGTGAATAGGCCTCTTGGGCTGGGCAAGGTTTCAGGTCGGGGGTGGCACAGCTGGCTGAGATGCTGTCTTCCCACTGGTTCCTCCTGACGGCCTGGCAGCAGTGCCCTGGGGCTTGTCGTACTCCCGGGGCACCGGGCACAGCCCTTTCCTGAGCAAGTAGGATCCACTTCCAGGGCGCTAACATGGAGGGGTGAGGCCCACCGGCCTTCCTTCCGAGGACCTGGGTTGGATGAACCGGGTAGGAGTCGGGTGAGGTGGTAAGGAGCCGCCACAGTCGGACAGAACTGGGTTTGAATCTTACCACTTCCACTGCCTAGCTGTGTGACCTTGGGCAAGTCACTTAGCATCTCTAAGCCTTGGTTCCTCCTCTGGAGAATGGAGGTCATGCTGGAGCCCGTCTCCCATTCCCGCGACTCCATGAGACAGTGCGGGTACACAGACCCTGCACGTGGTGAATGTCGTCCTGACTGGACTATTGCTGCTACCCTTTCTGGTGCTATGACCTGTGCCATGCGCTGGGGACGCAGAGGTGCATCTGCTCTCCTCCCTCCCTGGGGAGATGGTCAGAAACACCTGCTAGACCAGGCTGACTCCGGCTGGGGGGCAGGAGTTGAGTGGGGAATCACAGAGACTTCCAGAACCCAGTGGCCTCGGGCCGGTCGAGAGGCCGTGCCTGGAGCAGGGTGGGGGCCGCTCAGAGCCCGTGTCTTCCCGCCAGGAGGAAGTCTGTTGTGGATGCCGGCAACAGGACCTGCACGGGCACGTCCAAACGCTTCCAGCTGTGCAGGGCGCAGGTGAGTCCAGCCTGATGGCTGGGGACAGGCCCTGGCCTCCCTCCTCCCAGAAAGGCTCTCAAGGGGT